ATATATTATATAATGACTTGCAGTAGTTTGACAGTATTTATTTATAATTTTATATTGAAATATAACTGCCAAAAAATACCTAACACCTAATGTTGTACACACTCAATACACTCAGGTTATGYGTCACGYTGCGTGCTTAAATTACCATGATTTAATGTTAATAGTAATATATTTTATACCATTATAATAATTTATAATATCATAAATATTTTGGCAAAAAAAGTAATTCTATACCTAAACGGAATYAAATGCGCTGATCTAATTTATTTTAGAGAGAGCCATTAGCTCAAAGTGTACGCGCGACGATAAGGCATCGAGGCATATATACATAAGACACATATCACTCTAACAAGTAATACCCAACGGGATTAGATATCTACCCACGGTCGGAAGTACTCTGTTATTTATGTATTTTAATGTTTTCTAAACAGAAATAAAGTTTCGATTTTTGTTTTGATAAGTAGTATACAATTTTTAAGAATAATATACTATTTAAAATGAATTTTGAAATCCAAACTCTCTATCCTAAAAACTTATCATGTACAAGTCAATAATTCGACTAATTTGGATATATGGTCTATTAAGCTATGGCCATGGGGTTCTGCAAAGCCATCCAATACACAAATGTTTCAGGAGTTTCAATTCATATGCGTATGACAAGTAACGTCTTGTCCTTGGTACTGCACAAGCAATAATCTTTACAAAGATCTAAAAAATCTTACTCTCAATTAATTAGAAAAATTATATTTCTTTAAATTTTCTTACAAATTTAAATTTTTACAGTAACCCATTATTTAAATAACTATCCTTCAGTTTACTTCCCGGTAATGTACATAGAAGACTCGAAATACAGTGGTAAGAGGCTTAGTAAAATAAAAATAAATGAAAATAAAATAATACCTCTCTAACAATAATCAGGTTGGGTGGCACTGATGAATGCCTGCCCATACACTATAATCTCTAACAATGACATAATATATTAATTATCAAATTTGCTTATAATACTAATTGTAYTGTGTAGATTGTAAATACTTTTATTAATAAAATAGAATTATCATATATAATGCGTATTATAAAAATAAAAATAAAATAAAATAACAATGATATAATCATAATATTTATCTAAGAATTAGAAAAAAGAAGCAAGTTATTTATTCTAAAAATGATTAAAATTTCGAATAGGTAGTCGATAAAACTATCTCGTATTGTTTTTATAATCTTCTGTCCAATGACTTTCGTTGTCGCACACAGTATGCATAACGAGTAGGCACGATGGTACATTATAATTACTCAAACGTAAATTCGTTAATATAGGTAATTTTATGAATAAATTCAAGTTTTGTAAAACTATACCAGCTAAAATGCCTTTACATTCACGTAAAAAAAAAAAATATTTTTACTATAAACAAAGCCTACGTATTACTAAAAATGTGATGATTTTTAGGTCATTATGTCAACAATCTTAGTAAAACCATAGTGATCCTCCACAAATCATTTATAGCAAATAGTATGAAAAGTAATTTAAAGTATTCAATAAATACATGTATGAAGCATACAATTATATTTGTATATGTTCATTTAGTATTAATATAGGTACTTCAAGATTTTTAATAGAACAATGTATGTAGATATTGGTATCACAATAATCTGCGTTATATTTTGTTTTAAGTGTGTCATCATCGTTTGAAACTTACATTTATAGTTTTTTATTTATCTAATTTTTAGGCATTATTTCAGTTTAATAATTTAATGCAAGGTTCAAGGCTCCTCGTAAGTTTTTGAAACATCTAAAATATTTTATTAATTATTTTACTAAGTGGAAAAAAAAGCTTTCCATTTCATGGCTTGAAAACTTTTCATGAAATTGACAATTTCATCAAGGGGATGTGACTTATATATAAATCAAAAAAGCGGGTAAGTAGATGTCGCTCTGCTGTACAAGTGGGTTACTGTAATGGATGGTTTTAAATTTGAATTCAGTGGTATAATATCATTGTATACGAAAAACGATTCTGAGTGAAAATGGTTTGTCAGTCTAGGATGTTTTTTACTATATTAATTATAATGTTATATTTTTCAAACAAAAAAATGTAGGTTCCTTTAAAATAAATTCCAAATTAATCAAATAAGATGTATTATGTACCCAACTAACTCAGTCTTTCATAGTATATACAATTTATTACAAAGTGTCAATATAAGTCATTAACAACATTAT